CTTATGGGGTGCTGAGGAATCGAACCCAGGGCCTCGTAACTCTACCCCTGAGCCACCTTCCCAGCCCTAAACATGTGCCCCTCTAAGAATCATAGAGAGAGACCTACACATCTTTCCATGGTGGAGAAAACTAAAAGACTAAAAAACTGGAGACAGGGTTGATTTTCGGGGGGTCGAGTTTTGGACTGAGCGCTTCCTATTTGTTTTTTTATACATCAGTAATTAAATAGAAGATACACAAGTACCGTGTTCAAGTTCTGGCTACAAAGGGGGAGGGGAGACAAGAATTGGGAGAGATCGAGGAAAGCGGGGATTCTGTCTGAGAAGAAATGGACTCATCTAAGTGATGGTTTGGTTCTTTGGATGTTCCTCCCCCATGGTGTAACCCCTGTTTTCACTGTATTTGATTTCTGTGCTCTGCATCTTGTATCTGCATTTTTCTAATTTGGGGAGGGGAAGGGAAATCACAAAATGCTGAAGTAAGGATACAGCTTGACCCACTGTCACAATGAGATGCACGAGACGCTGTGTTGAAAGTGAACTTTACAACTTTGGTGGCGGAGGGGAGGGGGGGTCATTGGGGAGGGCGGGAGGGGAAAAACAAAGGAGGAGGCAATAATGCTTGATAAAAATGGACTCAGTACCTTACTCATGTAACCGTAACCCCTCTGTACAGTATTTTCACCATAAAACACATATTAAAAAAGGAGTGTACTCATGACCTGACAGGTACATCACCTTTGCATAACCATAAAAATAAATAATAAAAAAAGAACAACAAACCAGTTGCTGGCGGCTCCCGCCTGCCATCCCAGCTACTCGGGGGGCTGAGATCTGAGGATCACGGTTCAAAGCCAGCCCAGGGCAGGAAAGTCTGTGAGACTCTGATCTCCAGTGAACCAAACAAAGACAGAAGTGGAGCTGTGGCTCAAGGGGTAGAGCACCAGCCTTGCGTACAAAAGCCAAGGGCACAACCAAGGCCCTGAGTTCGAGTTCCAGTATCAACCCTCCAAAAGAAAGAGTAAGTTCTAGAGTAACATTTATATGAAAGTGATAAGGAGGGAAGGGCGCAGACGTCCATTCTGCCCCCACCCACGTTTGCGTCTGAGCAAACACCTCCACGGGGGATGCAGAGAATCACACTTGCAATTGCAAGGAAGGGAGCCGGCTCTGACCACGGGGGAGCCCCCCTTTTAGCGTTTTGGCCTGTTATCCTGCTGGAGAACGCCTCTCCAGAGCATTCCGCCCTTCCTGAGTCAGTCAGCAAGAGCTAAACATAGAGCTCGGAGGGAGGGTGAGAAGGCACTTTGGCTTGGCCTTGGGTTTCTCAACTCTGGAGTTCGTCAAGAAGCATCTGTTTATTGGCCAAGGGGGGGCAGCTCACACCTGCACCCCAGTTACTCAGGAGGATCGCGGTTCAAAGCCCACTCTGGGCAGGGAAGTCCAACCTGGGACTCTTAAGTCCAACGAAACAGCAAAAAGCCACAAGTGGAGGTGTGGCTCAAGTGGTAGAGCACCAGCCAAGCAAGAGTACAAGGCCTTGGGTTCAAGTGTCAGTACAGCTACACTCAAGAAAGAAAGAAATGGAAAAAAACTATTTCTACAAACTGGATGGGGCTTCTCACAAACTTTATTTTCTTCTTATTATTTTGCGTGTGTGTGTATGTGTGTGTATTGCATGCATGTGTGCACGTGCACACGCACGCACACACACACACACACACACACACACACACATGCTGTAACTTGAACTCAGGGCCTGGGCCCTGTCCCTGAGCTATTTCTGCTCAAGGCTACCACGTTGAGCCACAGCGCCACTTCCGGTTTTCTGGTGGTTCATGGGAGATAAGAGTCTCATGGACTTTCCTGCCCGGGCTGGCTTTGAACCGTGATCCTCAAATCTCAGCCTCCTGAGTAGCTAGGATGCCAGGCGTGAGCCACCGGTGCCCGGCTAGCCCATTATTTTAAATATGAGCAATGGAAGTTCAAGCCACCCAGGGGACTCATGATTGCTCCTTGAACTGAGTCATTGTGTTCTTCAACTTACTGTATGCCTTCAGGTGTTGGTATTGCCGGCCAGGCACTGGTGGCTCACGCCTGTAATTTCAGCTACCCAGGAGGCTGAGAGATCTGAAGATTGCAGTTCAAAGCCAACCAGGATAGAAAAGTCCATGAAAACATCTCCAGTGAACCAGCAAACAGCC